GAAAATAAAAGAAGTTCAAGTTCAAAATGGTATTATCAATGATATAGTGTTGTAACTAACTTGAGGTGACCTAAGAGTTGGCTTCTGTACTGTTCCTTATCAGCATCTAAAAGGGCATACAAAATTCTTTGTAAACTAATTTAAAAAGTGTCTTGTTTATTCAGAAGCAAATGTGAATGGTATTTGTTCAGACCGTAGATCACATCAGTTGCATACCAGCCAACAACTTAGTTCTCTTCTGAGAGAGGCCAAGTATCAAAGACACAAAGTACTAAAGATAAGCTTCTCAATTCTCAACTGTTCTGAGCTCTCAATAAAGCTACTGATGTACAAATTGGGGTGGGGCCCAAACTTTCCACCTGCAGGCTTGTCTTAGATCCTTGGCTCTGACTAGGAGGGGTACTGATACTATCCTGACCTTTAGTGGCCTTGGAGAACAAAACATGGACTTTCTCAATAGCCCTAATCAGTGGGTCCTTCTGAAGAGGATTCCATCTCCTTTCTTTTAAGTAATCTCAGAGCAAAAAATTATGCCTATTGACATTTACAGGGATGGTGAGAGCAAAGAGATGGTTGATTTGCTCTTACTGAATCTTAAGATATATATAATATATATTATGTATAATATGTAACATAATTAATAATATGATAATAATTACATATATATTTCTTTCCATGTTTGATTCTTTAATATTTTATATTTTTTATATCTTTATTTTACTTATATATTTTTATGTGGTTCTGAGGATTGAACACAGTGCCATGCAAATGCTCTACCACAGAGCTACAACCCCAGACCCTGATATTTTGTATTTAATATATAACGAGAGTGTGACCTCAGTAAATAAAACAGTGAAACACTTTAAAAACTAGTTCAAAGGCACATGCCTGTAATCCCAGTGGATGAGGAGGCTGAGGAAGGAGGAGAGCAAGTTCAAAGCGTGCCTAAGCAATTTAGCGAGGCCCTGTACAACTTAGTGAGACCCTGTCTCAAAATAAGAAAATAATAAAAAGGGTTAGGGATGTGTTACAGTGGTTAAGTACCCCAGGGATAGATATCCAGTACCAAAAAAACAAAACAAAGCAAAAAAATCTGGTTCAATTAATATATTTTTAGAAAATTAAGACTTAATTCTTTTAAAGAAAAATTTCTGGGACTACTGAGGCATAAAATACTGCGGATACTGAGTTATCACATGTAAGCTATTAATATTTGAAGTACTTAAATTTAGTTTATAATTAGCATCAAAATTTCAAATGTAAGTATACTGAAATAATAGATTCTTTAAAATCAAAATCTTAATTTTGTGGTGAGTACCTAGAATAAATCAGAAAATTGGAAAACATTTGAAACGTGAATAATTTGGAGATATTTTTGAAACTAATCTATCCCCCAGTTAGTTTTTTTAACATTATTGAAATGAAAACCCTTTATATTACTGTGAAAGTAGCATGAGTGACTGACAGGCATCTGTAATATTAAATTTTAAATGAATTTTGCTATAATTAGAAATTTATCATTGTTCCAAATTTGGTTAAAAAATAGTAATGAAACGAATCACTATTTAAAAATAATTTAGGGCTGGGGTTGTGGCTCAGTGGCAGAGTGCTTGCCTCACACATGTGAGGCACTGGGTTTGATCCTCAGCCCCACATGAACAATAAATAAATAAACAAAATAAAGATATTGTGTCCATGTTTAACTAAAAAATTAAAAAAAATAAAAATAATTTAAAGTGCTATATTTTGCTTTCACAAAGTTAATGCTAACATAACCCTGGTACTTGAGGCATGTTTGAAAAGAAAGGATTCATGTAAGTGTGTGGGCATCTGCATGTGTCTGTGTGTTTGCATATAAATACTGTAGAGGCAAAAAAAAAAAGGGGGGGGCGGGGGCTCCATAGTGTTCTCTGTAACCTTTGCCCCTGAAAACAATTAAGGGTTTTGAGCCCATTAAAATTGTCTCTAACTATATGTGATTTTTAGTGATTGGGATTGAAAACAATAACACATTTTCCAGTTATTAAAGGATTAGAGCATGTGAGTAATTTACTGAATGTTAAGTGTATTGAATTATTTACCTAAAAGTAATATAAGCACATCTGGGCAAAGAGGACTTCATTGTAGGAAAAAGTTTTTTTTTTTTTTTTTTTTTGTGTGTGTGTGTGTGTGTGTATGATGCTTGGGATTGAACCCAGGTCCCTGGCCATGTGAGGCCAGCACTCTGCCAACTGAGCTATATCTCCAGCCCCAGGAAAAGGTTTTGAATGAAATATTTAAAATAAATATTTTGAAATTAATTGATTATGATGCCAGGAATACAAATTTGATTATTTAAATATTTTACCTGCTTAATTGAGGAATCTATAAGTGTTAGTTTTCAATTCATTTTTCTTTGGGAAGAATAAATTGTTTTCCAAGTAAACTGTAAGTAGAAGTTAGGATGATTGCTAATTTATCAATTTGAAGGGGTCTTATACTATTAATTTTATATTTTTTTCTTTCATGTTGGTATTTTATCTGGATTCCTTGTGCCCTTTAGCCTTCCTTTGTGACGTGTCAAACTGGGCAATTTAGTAAAACCTTGTCCTCAAAATAAAGTAACAAAATAAAAAATTGGAGGATATAGCTCAGTAGCCTTGGGTAAAAAAAACGATGAAAATGTACTATATTAAAATTAAGAGCTTCTTTTCATTTATAAACAACCACTATGAGAATAACTCCGAGTGAAAAAAGATACAAAGCATGTGTCTATAAAATGATTCATTCAAAATATTCAAAATGAAGCGCAATCAAACTAAAATATTTAAAAGACAGATTAATAACAAAGAGAAAAATGAATCAAAAACATAGCAAGATTGAACAGATACTCCATAAACCAGTATATTTAAATGTCTAATAAATATATGAAAAGGGGTCAGTATTCATTATTCATTAAGGAAATATGAATTAAAATCTATGTAATACTACTACATACCTACCAGAAAGGCTGAAATGCAGGATTTGAACCAACCAGAATTCTCATATATTGATTATAAATTGGAACAACCTTTTTCAAAAATTGTTGGTTGTGTAGTACCCAATCCCAACAGATGCAGCTCCTCTTACCCAGTATTCCAACATAGGTATATCCTAAATAAAAATGCATAGATATTTGCCAGAATGTTTATGGCAGTACTATTTGTACTATTTGTAATACTCCATAATACTGTAAACTGTGATACTATAAACCACCAAACATCTATCACTGGATATTGGATCAATAATTTTACTATATTCATAATGGAAGACTACACAGCCCTGAGAATGATATATAACTCTAAGAAACAAAATGAGTGAATCTCTCAAACATTATATTGAGCAAAAGAAGCTAGGCACAAAATAGAAAATGCTGTAAAATTATATTTACATAAAATATAAAAACATTTAAAATTCTTATCTTTGTTAAAGTATAGGAGTTATTTGGGGAGGTAGTGATGAGAAGGGAGAGAGTGTGAGAATGAATTCTGCTTCTTGATATGAGTATTGCCTTGCTTACATTTGTTCAGTTGTAAAATTCATCAATTTGTATTGTTGATACATATTATTGAGTGGGGGGCTCAAACTCAGGAAACAGATTTGAGATTCCTGCAAGTGGAAGAAGATGCAAGATGCAGTTAGGATAGTAGACGCTTTATTCAGAGGTGGCAACAGCCTTCAGCTTCAGATTTAGCCCCCATCCAGTTACATTTTGCTCCAGTTGTTTCCTTCAGCCCCAGCCTTTTCCATAGGCTTTTTTATACACAGGCCAAACAAAGAAGGCACACTGCCAACAGGTTAAAAAAGTGGGCACATATTCACAACCTAATGATCATGACCTCCAGTACATACACGGAATCAGAGTGTTTCTGACCTTGACTACACACTAACCATAGCATTACCAACTTATGGCATTGGCTACTACTGCCCATAACACCCAATTATGGCCTTGGTCACATACTGAAAACATAACATAGCCTGCTGGAAGCCTTAGCAAGGGAGCCCAATTATAGCCATTTTGGCCCGCCTCAACACAAGTACTGTCTGTAGTTATACCTAAATAAAAAAATTAATAAAATGAAAACTTTTTTATTAGTCTTAAGCTGTGATAGTTTGCTATAACCCATCCAAATGTATCTATTACAAGGTGCTCTTGTCTCAGGGAAAGTGTGTAACTGACCATGGGCACAACTTAGAAAGGGCAATTGTTAGGTTTTGAGATTTTCTTTTCCTATTATTTATTCTTACCCTTCTTTTTTCATTCCTCCAGAAAGACTTCCTCCTTACTAATTATGGTTATATTCCAGTTGTTAAGATTACTCCCAGGTCTTTCACACAAGTTCTTGTGACTGACACTCTCCAGAGGTGAATTCTACATTTCATATTGTTGAGATGGTAATTTTTTATGCTATAAGTAATATTTTTAATATGATAGAGCTACTGTAGTTAGAACACATACAATAAAAACACTTCTTTGCAATTTTCGACCACTGTGAGGTTCAATGGCATTATCCCACTTGAATGGTTAACAAGGTAACATGTTAGTTAACTTCCTTAATAGCTCAAATAAATATAAATAAATCAGATCAATAAATGTAATTAACACATAATATAACAAACTTTAAGAAACTATTACAGATTAACTCCCATGTACTCTTGACATAGTATATTTTGTTCCACTGGCTTATGCTAAAGCAACTTTCTTTAAAAATAGAGATGGTAATTTTTATTTAGCTCCATTACTTGGGACTAATCTTTTGCCATTTGTGGGCCTTTTTCTCATTTGTAAAAGCCTTGATTTGATATTGAACAAAAGTATGATTTATTGAGTTTTTGGTTGACTCTCTTATATGTTTTTTTTTTGTTTGTTTTTGTTTTACTTATTTCCTTAGAATTTATATAGCTGAGGGACTTTGATAGAAAACATAGCCATTTGATAAATAAAGTTTCTTGTAAAATACTCATTTTATCTTTCATAACAGGTAACCAGAAATGGAGAGAAAAGTAAGCAAAATCTGTCTTGCCTCTGAAGCCAATATAATTCATTTTCTACAAGTGTCTTGGGAGAAAACACTAGGATCTGGTTTTGTTATTACACTTACTGATGGTCAGTCAGCATGGACTGGGACAGGTAATATTAAAAGCAAATTTTTAAAATGTAAAATTTAAATAATGTGTTATTATTCCATCCTCTCTTCAAATTGTAGTTTCTTCAATAGATATGGGTAAAACTGATTACTTTTACTTGTAGTGACCAGTTTATACGCAGATTTGTAACATTTAATGCCATTTTCTATAATTGTTATTAAATAAATTAGCATATACCCAACTAATTCTGATTATCATTTGAATCTTAGTACTTAGACTTTGTTAAAATTTTGAAATGATCTCTTAATACAAGATGTGAATAGTACTTTTGACATGTATCTCCTCTTGGGACCCCAGGGAAATATTGAGAGGCAGAGGAAGCAGATTGGCCAGATCAAGAGTTTGTGTTGGATTGTGGCCATGGAGTTTTCTTTCTACTTCATCCACTTATATAGTTTGAATTATTTTCCAATGAACATGTACTATATTTGGAACAAAACAGAACCATAGCCTAAAACTTTATAATGCAGGGGTGAAAACTATATGTAGAATTTTGACTCTTTTATAAAATATACTTTTAATTTTTTAAATCTTTGATAATCTTTTAAAAATGTTTATAACCTTCAAATTGTATTTGGAACATGGCAGGTATAAAGTCAAAATATTTATAATTGTTTTACTAGATTACCAAAGTTTAATCTTCTAAAGTATTTTATTAAAACATTTTTTTAAAACTTTCTATGATTATGAAGTCATTTCTAAGTTATGTTGTGATATTTTACTTAAAATATTTTTGTTATTTTACATACTATTTCTATCTTCTAAATTTTGAAATATTTCTCTAAAATTTATTTCATATTTTATGCCTTATTCATTTCTGTTTAAATTTTAGGGACAAACTAAGCATGTAATATTGATAATTATTTTATCATTTTTACAATTAAAATACATTGTGAAATTCTGTTTCTTTCTTGAATGTTACAAATTCTGTTTTATTTAGTCAAACTGAATTTACATTCACCGTTTTTTCATTCATCTTTTATGATAATAAGAAGTGTTAATATAAGGATTACTGTAAAATAAAGAAATTTCAAGGATAATATTTGCAATACTTATTATGGTATCTATTTAAGCTATACATTTCTGTGTAAGAGAAATCAGTAGTTGGTTGTTACGAAGTGGAATAAGATACAACAGGTTAACTATGTATGCTAGTGAAAGTGTGTGACAGTTCTTATTTTTGGATGAAGAGGTAAAACATTGCTAAAAAACATGGCAATGGGTTAATGCTGATCTATTTTGATTGAAAGAATAAAAGAATATTTTAAATATAGAAAACTGGCTAGAAAAAATAAACTACTTCAGAGTTGGCTTTTTTATTCTTTTATTTATATATAACAGCAGAATGCATTACAATTCATATTACACATATAGAGCACACATTTTTCACATCTCTGGTTGTATACAAAGTATATTCACAACAATTCATATCTTCATACATTAACTTTGGATAATGATTTCCATCACATGCCACCATTATTGCTAACCCCATGCTCTCTCCCTTCCTCCCCCACCCTTCTGCCCTATCTAGAGTTAGTCTATTCCAAATGTTTTCCCTTATATGTGGATGCTGATCCATAATGGGGGTCGGAGGAGCATGGGAGTAATGGAGGAACCTTAGGTGGGGCAAAGGAAGGGAGAGGAAGAGTGGGGGGACATGGGGGTAGGAAAGATGGTGCAATGAGATGGACATCATTACCCTAAGTACATGTATGAAAACAAGAATGGTGTGACTCTACTTTTAGTACAACCAGAGACAGAAAAATTGTACTCTGTATGTATACTATGAATTAAAATGAATTGTGCTGTCATGTATAACAAATAAGAATAAATAAATAAATTTAAAAAATGAAGTTAACTTACAAGATTGATGTCTAACTGGTGAAACCTCTAAGGACTCCAAGAAACCATCAACCTTCATTTAAGACCACTTTTGTGTGGAGTGTTTGCCACTCTGGCTAGGGAAATCCATGGTTGAACATCATAAGGCAGGAAGGGGAAACAAAAAAGCAGAACAAAAGGGAATCAGTAGATAAGAGAAATAGGATTAATGTCCCAGAAAACAAACATAAAGACCAATTTGAAAAAGATGTGAATTATGTTTAAAACATTCAAATATTTTAAAGGTGTATTAGTTTGTTTTGTGTTACTGTCAGGAAATATCTGAGGCAGGCTATCCTTGAAGAAAAGAGGATTATTTAGTTCATAATTTTTGAGGCAGTCCCATTGGTTTAGTCTCTAGTGCTGGCCTACTGGTGGGCAGCATCAAAACAGAGCCTATGCAGGAGAAAGAGATTACATCATTTTTTAAAAAAATATTTTTAGTTGTCGAAGCACCTTCATTTATTTATTTATATGTGATATGGAGAATTGAACCTAGTGCCTCAGACATGTAGGCAAGCACTCTACCACTGAGCTATAATCCCAGCCCTGAAGAGATTAATTACATCTTGAAACTGAAAGCCAGAGAGTAATTCAGCCTCATTCTTACAACTATTCACTCTCGCAAGAACTGACTCAGGATGCTGTTAGAATTATTTTAATTCCTTCCCAGGGCAGCACTCTGATTGACCTAAGGACCTATGATCCACCTCTTAAAATTTCAACAACCTCTCTTATATAGCCACACTGAGGACCAAATTCTCTGTTCATGAACCCTTGGGGAACCCATGGACCCTTTGGACCACATCCAAACTGTATCAGAAAGGTAGAGTAAGAACAGTATATTATGAAAAAGAAATAAAGACTATACATAGACAAAGAGGATATATAGGGATAAATCAAGAAAATGTATAGATAGATAAGGATATTGGAAATCAGATCTATTGTATACTGTGTTTCATAGGTGAGGTAACTAAATGAATTTGAGTTCCTTTCCCATTTCTTATCACTTCCCTTCATCCATGTTTTCTTTTGTTAGCACACAAGATGAAAAGAATGAACTTCACTTTTACTTAGTTTGACTGTGCCTATGTGAGTGATAAATAGACTATAGACCATTGGATCTTTGAGTCAAAGAAGAAAGACATTGGAAAATACCAAGCATATTAATCATAACAGGAAATGATTTTATCTGGCTATGACTGAAGAGCAGGTACACAAAATGGTAGTTTCCATGGTAATTTACAATGATATATTTTATCTAAGGACTGAGAAATTATTCCATCCATCTCAAGATTTTCAGATGAAATTTGAGACTAAACCAATGCAGTTTTCAAAAATCACTAGTTTCATTAAAAGGTGTAATTGGACTTAGAAATGTGTGATATGGGGATTAATTTTACCTTTTGTTAAACTTCAGATATATGTGATAAAATGGTAGGAACAGAGAAGCAAATATTTTTCATGTTTAGAAATATTCCTTTTAAACTCATTAATGTTTTCCATAGTTTCTGAATTGGCAATTTCCCAAGAAGCTGATGACATGGCAATGGAAAGAGAAAAATATGTGGATGAACTAAGAAAAGCATTGGTGTCAGGACCAGGACCAAGTAATACATACAAGTTTGATTTTTCTAAAGAATCTTGTCATTTCTACTTTGAGAAAAACCTGAAAGATGTTTCAGTAAGTACAACTTTCCATAACTTTATAATTGGTAAGATGTCATAGCTCTTATTGAGGAATTATGCTTAAGGTTCAAGAAACTCGCATATTATTCCCAGAACACCTCAGAAGTAATAGCTTTGAAAGTACTTGGTTTCCAAATTGGAAGAATGCTTTAAAGTTAAAGTCATTGAACTGTATTAATGAATTATGAAAAGTTATTATTGGAAAATGTATTAGTTATTGCTTTAAAAATGTTAAGTATTAAGCAATTATAAAACTAAAAAGATAGAAATAACTGAAGCTAGTCACTCCATATTATTTCATATCTATTAAAACATATTTCATAATAATAATTTTGTTTTTTTCCAATATTTTCAGCTGATTACTATCTTTAATCACTATGGGTTAAAGAGGTTTTTAAATTTTTTAACTAAATTTGTCTCAAATTTTTAATAACTAAAGTTAATGTAGTAGAGATTTCCTTATCTTTTTTATACTATAGATCTCATATATGATTGATAAATAATTTAAAAATTGTCAAAAAACCAACTCAATCTCTAATTAGTTTAGGTAAAATATAAAGATAGTATGTGAAGAACATTTAATAAATAAATCACCATGTTGATCTGAATTAGTATAGGAACTGAGGAGGATGAAGAGCAGATGTTCTTGTCTGCAAAGTATGCAAACTTTGGAATATTCAAGCTGACAGTTATTTTTATTTTAGAATTTTTAAGTCTGATAATAGTAAAACTGTTGATTTTGTATTAACAGTTGAACTATCTTGTGTTGAACTATCTTGCATCCCTAAAATGGAAGCAACCTGTCATTATTTATCATCTTCTTAATGCATTAGTGAATATAATTTCTGAAAATTTTATTATAGATTTTGTATCTATGTTCATTAATAAGGATATTTATCTGCACTTTTCTTTCCTTGACATTGCCTTATTTGGTTTTGGTATCAGGATGATATTGATTTCAATGGGTTTTGGATGTGTCCTCACCTACCTTTCTATTTCATGGAGTAATTTGAAGAACATTGTCATTAGTTCTGCTTTAAAGGTCTGGTAGAACCAGTTGTGAATCCATCTGGTCCTGAACTTTTCTTTTTAGGAAGACTTTTTGCTTTAGTCTCATTGCTGCTTGTTGATCTGTTTAAGTTTCCTATATAATTTGGTTCAATTTAGGTAGGTTTTTTCTATCTAGAAATTTTTCCATTTTTTCCTAATTTTTCCAGTTTGCCAATATATTTTTTTAAATAGCACCTAATTATCCTTTTTTTTCAGTGATATTTGTGATGATATTTGCCGCAGTCTGGCTGGGCACAAAATCACGAGCCACTCACAGCCTTGTAGATTCAAACAGCAATTCTTTATTCCCGAACTCACACCAGCACTCTACATGCATTCTGGGGAAATTCACGTTCTGGGCCCAAATCACGTTCTGGGCAAAATCCCAAAATACTCTCTGAATCCCAAAGGGAACTCAAAGGGAACTCAAGGAACTCAAGGAGCCGGCACGCCTGAGGCAGCAGGATATGCCCTATTCCCAGCAGGGTACACCTTAAACCTGGAACCGCCCTAAACCTGGATTGTCCTAAACCGGGAACGCCCTAAACCCCGATCCGCCCTAAACCCGGATCCGCCCTGGTCCTTGAGCAAGGTCACCTTACATGCAATGTCACTGCAAATGACCTGGGTCATGACATGTGTCATTCTTACTTAGCAATGGCCCTTTTTTTTTATCTCTTACTTTATTAATTTGACTCTTCTCTTTCTTTTGGTTAATTTAGCAAAAGTTTTTTTTTTTTTTTTTTTTTAAATCAAAGTTGTTTATTCTTTGAAAGACCCAAGTCTTACATTGATCATTTGTATTTTTTTTTTTTTAATTTTTTCAATAACTTCAGCCCTGATCTTAATTGTTTTCTTCCTTCTAAGGGTTTGGAATTATTTTTTCTAATTTATAAAGGATCTTGAGACACATGATTAGTTTATTTGGGATCTTTCCAATTTTTTTTTTTTTTATGTAGGTACTCATAGCTATAATCTTCCCTCTTAGAATTGCCTTTATAATATTCCAGAGATTTTTTTTGGCATGTTGTATTTCTATCCTTGTTAGATCCTAAAAATTTTAAAATTTCTTCTATGGCTCATTCATCATGAAAAGTATATTGCTTAAACTCCATGTATTATGTACTTTCTAATGTTTTTTTCCTGTTGGTTTTAATTTTATTTCGTTGTTATCTTGATAAGATGCAAGGAATTATATAGACCCTTTTGTATTTGCTAAATCTTGCTTTGTGATTTATCCTATGGCCTATGTTGGAAAAAGTTTCAGTGCAGCTGAGAAGAAAGTGTATTCAGATGTCATCAGATGAAATATTGTATATATGTGTTAAGTACGTCTGGTTTATAGTATTTTTCAGCTGTAAAGTTCTTTACTGATTTTGTCTGGATTACCCATCTATTGGTGAGAGAAGGATGCTGAAATCATATAGTATTATATTGGGATCAATGTGAGTATGTAGAGCAATACTTATTTTATGTAATTAGATGCATGGATGTTTTGGGCATAAATATTTGCTATTGTTATATCTTCTTGTTTGATTTTTCATTTTAATCATTATGAAATCAGCTTTGTCTTTTCTGATTTGCTTTGGCTTAAAGTTGGCTTTGTTGAATATGAAAGTGATACTTCTGCTTGTTTTCATGCTCTATTTGCATGAAATACTACTTTTCATTTTTTTTCCACTTGTGAACATCTTTGTGAAGTATGTTTCATGCAAGCAACATATAATTGGGTCTTGTGTTGTAATCCAGTTGGACAGTCTATGTCTTTTAATTGGAGAGGTGAGGCCATTTACATCCAGTGTTATAATAGAGTGTTGTTTATTATTTCCTGCTGTTTAAATTTGTTACTATTTAAATTTGTTTCTAATGTTTATTTTGAGCCTAATTCTCATCTGTTCAGCTACTCTTCTGTTGAGATTCATCCATTTGGGACCCTCTGAAGTTTGTTTTTAATTTCTTCTCTATGTAGTATTTCTTGAAGTATTTCTCTTTAGTTCTGGCATCTTGGAAGATTTTTATTTCTGTTTCAATTCTAAAGGACAGCTTTGCTGGAAAAAGCAATTTTGGTTGGCAATTAATTTTTTTGAGGACTGGGAGTACTGAGTTATAATTCCTCCTGACTTAGAATCTTTTCTTAAAAATTCAAAGTAATTCTAATTGGCCTTTTTCTAAATGTCACCTGATGTTTTCATTTTGGTATCTGTAAAATTCTATCCTTGTTCTCTGTGTTAGGTATTTTAATTATAATATGTCGGGGAGTTTGATCTTGTCTATTTGGGGTTTTGAATATTTCCTGTATCCAGATGTCCATCTCATTCCAAAGTTAGGGAAAATTTCTAAAATTATTTCTCTGATAAATTTATGCATGCCCTTAGCTTTTATATCAGATTCCTCTTTGTAGTGATTCGTAGATGCTGACTCTTGATGCTGTCTCACATTTCTTATATATTCTGATCATAGTTAATTATTTTCTTTATTGCTGATTGAATTTTCAAAGTTATATACCTGTTTTCACTGGCTGAAATTCTGTCTTCCACAGAATATTATTCTGTTGGTGTGATTTTCAGCTGAATTTCTTCATGATTTCCATTTGGTTCTTTATTCAGAATCTTTACTTCTTTATTATAATACTCTTTTATATCCTGAATTTTCTACTTTAGTTGATTTATTCCATCTTCTTTAATTCATTAATTATTTTAATAATCATCTTTTGTATTTTTTATTGGCATTTCCTTCATTTTGGTGTCTCTGGCATCATTTATTGGAGTATTGTTCACTTTTGGGGATGTCTTATTCCTTTTTTCTTATATTACCTATTCTGTTGGTTTTTTTTTTTTATCTACCAGGATGATTACCTCTTCTACTATTCTGCAAGAAACTTTCTAGTAATCTGCCTTTTCTTTACTAAGTTCCTGAGGGAGTATACATCTAAGTGTCAATACTTCCACTTGGCGTGAATCTACTGCTGTGTTCAGTACTCAAGCACAGCTTTGAGAGGAGATAATAATCACCCAGTAACTGATCACTTCCAAATAAAGTCATATACTAATAAAGCTTAAGAATGTACTGAAAATATTCTCCACAATTCCACTATCAAAATGGAAATTGAAAATGGTGTTCTAGAATAGACTGAGAAAAAAAAAGTGTAATTAACTATTAAAGTATATTGGGCATGAGAAGGAAAAATCAAAGAAAAAGAAACATAAAATGTGGGTGGTAGAGGCAGGAGCATATACTGCAAGAAGAAAAAGAGAGACAGGAGAGGAGAATATAAACATGAGTAAAGAGAAGAAAGAGTAGTTCCAATTAATGCTTTAAAGCATTAAAATGAATACATAAAATTAGATTAATGAATGCATTGTCAAGTGATAAGAGAAAAAATGTCAAATCAATTTGCAAGATAAAAATCTGTAAAATCAAAACTGAAATTAGGGTTTGGGATTATGGCTCAGGGATAGAGTGCTTGCCTAGCACATGTGAGGCACTGGGTTCTACCCTCAGCACCACATAAATATAAATAAAATAAAGCTTAAAAAACTGAAATTAGAGAGATTTATTTTATTCCATGCTGAGCTATTTGAGATGGAGCCAATTCTTATTGAACCTTCCTGATTTGGATTTCGTCAGGCATTGGAAGGTTTAGTAAATGCCCACACCTCCTTGGATTTACTTCTATCCTCTTTGCGTATAGAGGAAGTAATCTTCACCATTCTTCCTCTGAATCAAATCTAGGAAGCTTCTTCTGTTCATTGGTATATCTGGGTATTTGTGGTGGATTAGAAGAGACACATAAGTGCCTTCGTTTGGCAGCAGCAACAGACTGTAGGGCCCAAACCTGGGGGTCCTATGGAACACAGTAATGCTAGGGCCAGGGGCCTCTGCCCTGCTTGTTGCAAATTCTGTGGCTTCTGCCACCATTGGGGTTCATTGTTGGTGTGCCCACAT